AATGAATATTTGACCTTAGGAAATCTTATTGACTAATACTTTTTATTGGATATAGCTGGCGTCAAAATATTTCTAAAACATTACTTATTCGTTTATTTTGGACAAACCGATTTCGAAATATGAGACGTTTTGAAAATTATTCAATGACAGTTATAAGAATTTATAACAAAAAATTTTCTTCATTATCTGTATCTTTTCAGATGTTCACACATTCCAAGATAAAACGGACAGTGTATATTGTTAACACGGATTCGCTTGGTAACCAACGTCTTAGACTTTCATATTCCATATTCTTTGAATAAAAAATGAAATTTATTCAATTTCTTTAAAAAATTATATAGAGATACCGCAATTTTTTATAGACTCACTTGTTAAATTTATGGAAAATATAGGTTTATATAATTTCAAGGAATTAGAGTGTATAATGTTAATTTAATTTAGCAAATCTGGCACAGTAAATTTCTATAATAGCAACATTAATAAACAACTCTGCCTTTTAAAATCAACGATTTATTAGCGAGTTGAAAGTATAATTTCTCATATATTCTATAGTTGTTTAATTAGAAATAGAGCGGCAAGGTATTCTATAATGAACTTGTATCATTGTTGTATTATTGCACATTCAATTTATATTGAAGTTTTAGTTTTACATTTAGATGTTAGTTTTAAATCTAATATATATATATAGATAGATAGACAGATAGATAGATAGATAGATAGATAGATAGATAGATAGAGAGAGGGATAGAAATAATACGTTTCGAATATAATAAAATAGAATAACGAAATAATAAAATATATCAGTGGTATCTGACAGTGTTTCATTAATAAAGTACAATATACCCAACAAGGCGAAGTACCTGTTACGTCTGATCAAAACATTGGGTAACTTTATACAAATTATTACAAATATCGTGGTACATCTAGCCTTTGCTGATTCTACGTGTAAACATAAATTTCATAAAAAGGCATTTTTTAATTGAATTTTATTTTTGAAAAAATTTCATTTAAGAAATTTCTTCGTATCTACTCGTGTATCAACCGGTAGTTTCGAAATATGAAACGTCTATTTTTACTCGTTTTGATATTATTTAACTTGGACACTTCCTATTATCGCTGTTATCTTATTTTCGCGATATCGATTTATATTATGTGTTCTTCACTCTGTATTTAATTGAAATGATTTTGTATTAAAATAAAGGTAAGATTAATATATCTTAAGAATCATTTTGTCAATGTAACAGGTATACGAAAGGTTGACCATAATTGCATACTTTATGCATACGTTAGCTGAACTAAATTATGTATTTTTTTTATAGCGAATTATGTGTATTCATGACATTGTTCATGTTTAATGATACAAACTCGGACATAAAGATTCATATTTCTGAAATTAATATACGGATACTTTTCTTAAATTTATGTTTCTCAAAAACCAGCCTTCACACGAAGAAAAGTTTCTATTTTTCACTATTTATTTTTACATGTAAAATCACCATCTAAATATTGGAATATTTGGAATATTCTACATACAGATCAATCGTCATTAATCGTGATAACAGTTGTATACGATTAATTTCAAGTAATTCCTCTTTGTTTTCATAGGTTTTCGAAATATATTTTTTTCTAATCTTCTAAATCTTTTGCGAATCTCTAAGGTCTTTCCTTCTAATCTATGAAATCTTTCATTCCAATCTTTGGAGTCTTTCCTCTCGATCTACGAGAGTAATGCAATAAGTAGACGCTTATCGTGAAATATACTAAACAGATTTCTCGATTATCGCTTCCTGTGTGGCATAACTTTGTTTCTTTAATACTCATTTACGTTAAAGAAAGAGGAAAAAATTAGGTAGTAAGAGATCCGGCGAATATAACGGTTGTGGAACAATGGAAAAGGAATTTTGTACTAACTGTGGAACTATAGTCTCTAGTGATTAGTGCCGTGTGTGGTCTCGCGTTATCATAGTGTACTAATCGTACTTTTTCCTGCTACGAATGTACGTAGCATCTTTTTCTAACTTCTTTACATTAACGTTGAAATACAGATTGATAAAAATTTGTGTTTACCGTAATGTTATGACGTATGATAATATCTTCTTTTGTTTTGTCAGCTGCTGAAGACTCTTCTTACTTTGAGTTGTCTTCGGTCGGTGTTGATCCACACTTAAGATTTCCACTTGGACACCATTTACTCGTAGAAATATTTTTAAAATTCAGCCCAGCTGAATCATATAAAATATTTTTCAGTATGTGCTAGTTTTTTTATCATCCTAGTTTATAACAAAGTTTTATATGTTCTCTGCTGCTTAAAATTTTTCATTATAAGATGTTGCAGGAAATATAAAACCTGTTTCTACAAAATTCATATATGATATGAGACTTACAATTAAATTGACGAAATATAAACAATTCTAGAATGTAAAAAATATAGATAATTAAAAACAAAAGTAATATTGTTGTACGTACCTCAAATATCTCACATTTGTTCTTGCATTTTACGAATGACATTTTAAAACTTTTTAATCAGACTTTATAAACTAACTATTTATCTAACGAAATATAATATATAGCTCTCAACAATTTCTAAAGCAAGTGTCTATTATTTTATACCTTTGGAAAAAGATCATGGTTTCTATAGCTAATCATCAGTAATGATTTTATCATTTTTCTCTTCTCTTCTCAGTTTATAGATAAATTTATTGGTGAAAGTTAAGAAACAATGTACTGATTTATCAACTTTTGTATATTTTTTATCTTCTTGATATACAGATTAAAATAGCATTAAACTTTGTACAAGATACTCGAAAAAATGTATTGTTTATCGATGTATAAAATGTTCTCCCTTCGTTCTATTTGTAATTTGGATATATGTACAAAAATTCATAAATGATCAGTTTGTTCCTTATCTTTTGCCAGTAAAGTTATATATAGCATAATGATATAATAAATTTTTCGGAGTAATCGTTAAATAAGTTTGTCTTTGATGTTTCCATTTAATTGAAATTACATTTTGAAACATTCTACTTATCTCTGTATACAATTTAATTAAGTAAATATATCTTTGCATTAACTAATTTTTACTCAGAATTGCAATTTCAATTACATTATTTAGAACTTGAGATAGTATGGACTATATTACTGAACCGTTTTGTGTAACTGTTGAGTTATTCCTATATTACTTATCTCATTGTTACAAGTGCGTTGTATTTTTCGCAGTGAACACCCAAGATACATATATAATACATGAGACGTGATACTTATATTTAATTTATTTATATTTAATTTTAATTTTTTATATTATTTATTATAATTATTTATATTTAATTTATTTATATTTAAAAAAAATATTAGATATTTACTGAATAAGAATCGCAAGTGTTTTAATGCCTTGTTAATATTGAAACGTTCAGGCCTGCAAAATCGGTGTTAAAGAATCCATAATAAATTTGAATTCCTCGAATTTCTTGTATTTAGCTTAAGGCGGTAAAATATGATATCATTACGACATAGAATGAGAGGTTGCAAAAGAATAAACTTGTTGCTGCTGCATGTTCTGAAGTAATACGCGATAAATCACCACAATTGGGAGCAAATAAAACGTCTACACTTTTTACCTTTTATTTCTTTTTCATATAAAGAACTGTAAGAAATTGGATGGAATTAAAATGAATATAAACACAGACTCGATGCAACTATTTTGGATGAAATATAAAGCATAAAAGTGTATTCTGTTTCTACTTTTTCTTCTTTCGTTAATTTTTGAATCAACTATACTGATAAATTCTAAAGACACGCTCTACTAAACATATTAATTATCTGTGTCTCATTCTATTTATGATTCTACTTCTAGGAAATAAAAATTAGGTTGGGATTGTCAAATGAGACTTTTCTGTTGAAGTAATATTATTTTCAAAAAATTTCTTGTTTTCTTTCTTTCAAGTATATCATAGTATAATATTTGTTTCTATTATACGAGAGTACTTCGAGCATGTAAAGTACATTTCTATTGAATTCAAGATTATCTAATTGAATATTTCAATTCATTTCTGTCGAAAGATAAAGTGATTCATTATGCATTAGCTTGGAACGTCAAATGGTAGTGGCCTTTTTTCTTTTACTATCATTCGTTCTATTCATTCAAGGAACGTTGACTTCTCACTTGAATTACTTCTGAGCAAGAGTATAATGTTGTGGTAGTGGTTACATAGATTTCTAAGTATATATGTGTTGGGATGAGTGGAACAAGTATGCATGAGATTCCGATATGTAATGAATTCAGGTTATTATGACAAATGAGTATGCGTGTAATGATTGATGTGTGTGTGAATTGTGTATGCAATGTAATGTATGAAGAAGAAAAGAAAAAGAGAGTGATTTGGGATACGTTAGTTGCAATTGAGTTATAATAGTGAGAAGTCCTGTGACAGAGTAATTGTGAGAAATTAATTATATTTAAACATTATATTTGTGTTTTATGATCTTTCTAATTAAATAAAGAATTGTTCTTGCTGTTATTAAAAATTTCATCTACCACTAGCAAATATAACAAGTCTTCTTTGCATATTAACATAGTATTACTGTATATGGCTGTCAAATATCGCAGTTCGTATTTATTATAATTTCTAAGTGATTCATAAATATTACATTGTACAAATTTTCAAGTGTTGTCACTAATTCTCGAATTTTCTATTATTTCGATCGATTATTTATTCATTTGGTGGATTATTGTCATTTATAACATAAACTGTATCTTGTACGTTTCCAACTGTCAACACTAATTTTTCAAATTTTAGAAAATTTCGATCGATTATTTGTCGATTTAATTATCATCGTTTCTAACGTAAACGTTCAATTTTGTGCGTTTTTAACTGCTAACGCTAATTAAAAAGAAATTGGATAATTACCATCAAATATTTGACAAATTAAGTATAAAAAGTAGGATAAGGAAAACGAAATTTCTAAACAAACGGTTAACGTTATAAATTATGTTTCTGTTTCAGATGTATCATTGGCAGAGTCAAAATGTTAAAGTCTCTGGAGTGGATGATATGGTTTTGCTCCCGAAAGTTACCGAGGATGCAATTACCGAAAACCTTCGGAAAAGATACATGGACGATTACATATTTGTATCCTTAAACAATTACTATAACGATAATAATTTATACTTACATCATGGTTCACGGATATGTGAAAATATAAGACCATTCCTTAGATCAGCACTGTAGAGGAATTCCCTTAATTCCTGTTGCATAAAGTTACTAGACTTTCGAAACTTAAACCGTTTTCGTGATAAAATGAAATTCGTAAAAGGACACGCAGGGAAGTAATAACTGCACCGTGAGCACTATAGTAGGAATTGTCTTTCAATGGTCTTGAGTGACTAATATCCGTGAATTGAAATATGACATTTCGTATATGACACTGTTTAAGGTATAATTGGATACTGCCATAGGCTAAACATAGCGTAAAGAAGTATATATTGGATTTTCTCACGCCATTAATATGCGATCGAAACCACGCGATTAAGCCTGTGATCAAAGAAAGTATGGGAAAAGACGTAATATTTTAAACTTTGAAGTCAAATTTTTATTAAAAAACTGTAAGAAATTAGCAAATAGTGAAATTATTAATTAAACTGATAAGTAAATAATATTCTATGCTATACATTAAAAAAAAAATTAATTTCTTTATCGTGGTTAACAAAAATTTGGTAAAATACATGTTTATGTAATTCAGTTTGTACTTTATATTAACGAATATTTGTCAGTAAAAATTGTATCATGCAAGAAATATTTATAACAAGTATACATTTATAAAGTATTATACATAATCTTAAGCTTCTGTGGTGCCATCTATAGAGTGTCTGAATTAAGTAGAAACGATTAAATTTCGGTTGAAAAATGGCTAAATTAAGTGAAACGATCAACACGATTTTATTACAGTCATATTTCTTTTTATAATATAACATGATAACGTCTCTTGAAACGAATTCTAAAATATGTAACACGATGTACTTACGTACATACTTCCATTCTATGAAAGATCCTAAATTAGCGACCTAAATTAGCGACTTCAAAGGCTCAAGCCAACGCGATTCTCCGCTTTCCAGCTAAATAATTCTTCCTTGACCTTGCAATTGTCACGAAATAGACCATGCTATCTTCCACGTAATATTTCTGTCGTGGCGACATTAACGCAATTGCAGGAACTATAAAATAGTTAAACGTTAGTGGAAGTCGTGGATCTTAGTAAATTAATGACATTTCTTTGCACTTAACTTATTTGATTTGGACTACCATTAGTCCAATAGTATTATACTAACAGTAGTACTATTGAGTAATATATTATTTATTAGCTTTCCCATCCTCTCCGTTCAGAAATGTTTAGAATTCTCTGTACGTATACAATTCTCTGTACATTTTAAAAATTACTTTTCAATATCTTTTTGTCTTTCATACGCATTTATAAGCTTTGCATGTAATTTATTTGTTAGCAAATGTATTCGAAAATTTCTGCTTTAGGTAACCTCAAAGAAAATCGCCGTGGAAAAATGATTTTTGTCAACCATATTACTGACCTACCATATGCAATCCATTGTTATGAAGAGTTAAATCGAATCATTATTTTTCAAAATTTTGCAATATTGTATTTTCCTGGAAATTTATTAATTTTCCATTGTATTATACCATTTAATTTGGAGAGACAACATTTTGTTGAATTTATAGCTTTTGTCTTAAAATTGGAACTACCAGACCAGCTAAAGTGACTGGTTTTAGTATATTTATTTTTCTATTTATCGAAAGCATATAGCTTCTTTAAAAAACACTAATATTGACTTTTATTGAAATAGAAACATAATTATGTATATATCTGTACACATTGTATATTACACAAATTTTACTTATATCAATTTATCATTCGTTTGGAAGGAGGCAATATTCATTCATAATTTTTATCATCACCACGAATTCAATTATTTTAATTAATAATTTTGAAGCTTTTAATTTTGTAAGATGAAATAAATACTTTATTATAAATAGTTTGTTTAAATTAAAAATGAAGCTACTCACTTTTGAACCGCGATATCAGATATTTTTACCTACTGATAATCGTTAAAGATACATTGTTCGCAATTTTTCTATATGTTTCATCTCCAACTCTGTTAAATTGGAACGAAAAGAGAAAAAAATTAGGTGACATGATTTTTGTAAATAAAATTAAGAATCTTTAGGAAGTACTCTAAATTATTACATACATGTATCGGTGATTGCGAAAATGGCCTAAGTCGTATACGTTTTGTTTTGAAATGCCAGAAGTTTTGAGTTTAGGAAAATTAGAAAGTTATATTTGATAATTACAAATTCAATCGAATGATTCTATGTTTTGCTATTTTCCAAAGATAGTTTTAGAATTTTAGAAAATTCATTTCTTGTAGATTTTTTACTATATCACTTTTATAATAATAATGGTAGTTACAAACTAAATCAATGGTTCTTAAACTTTTCAAAGGCCCGGAACACTTTTGATTATTAGAAAAATATATTGAACACAAATCATTGAGGTCCTAAATTTAAAAATAAAAATAGAAATATCCACGTATCTTTTATTGATTATTGTATAGGCATTATAGATCACATAACAGTGAAAAAAGCAATAGTTCAAAAACACTACATTTATAAAAAGCTATGACTAAAATAATCACTCTTTTGGTTATTTAAATTGTATACGTTAACGTTCGATCAGTTCTTCAACCACGCTATATTTCTGAATAGGCTTGTAGTATCAACAACGAATTAAATCTTGATTTTGTGCATGGAATTTCTTCTGACCTCTTATAAATTTACAGAACACTTGTAATGCAAAAATGTGAAACTATGTGTTTATTGTTCTACGAAGCTTTGTTCCACATAGAGCTTAATAAATATTTCTAGCAAATAAAATTCATATGTTCAGTGCAAACAATATTGCATGAAAAATACAGCAATATAAAGTAATACTACAGTAGAAGTATTTTTTTAAAGGATTTCCCTTAGTCAATTGGAAAAATTCTGAAATTCCTCAATTATCCCAGTCTGGGTATGTCAAGGAAGATGTGACTATAATAGGGATAAAATTGATGCTTGTTGAACTTATTGTTAGACTAAAATTAACAGGATTGTACAAATGCATATCATTCAAGTTCCAACAAGTGTCTCGCCTTTATTAAGGTTCATCAGAATTTATTAATTCACTTTAGACATACAATGACTATGCATGTCAAACATAGGCAGCTTGGAATAATTCGTGGCGACTACTGGCATTGCATTCACTTATAGCTGACAGTGAATCTGCAAAAGATACAAAATTCAATATTTTTGAATATCCAGTATACAGGATATCCTATACAACACCTATGTAGCAAAAAACACAAAAAAAGTGTTTTAACAAAAGTTGGTCTGTTTACGATTGGTTATAAATTGCAATAACGATCATTTAAAAAAAAATTGTTTCTTTGATAAAAAGCCAATCCCGCCTTTGTTTCTTTAAATGTCATTACATATTTTTGACTTTGTAGTATTGTAGTTCATGTCAAAACGAGTTTAGTGGTCTAGTATATTATGACATTTAGATGACGTTGAAATCATTGCAAACAAATGGGGAAACTGAAATTATGATTCGTTGTATTTTAAATTTAGATATTCACGAATTCAAAAACTTGGTATTTTTAAGTTTTAGTCTCATATCCAGTCAATCTATAGCAAAGAAAATATGTCAACACTTTGTGCAAACTTTCGTATATTACATTACTCCTTTCATTATTTATTTTCGCATATCGTAAAATTAGTTTTAAAATTATTGCAGTTTTTTAAGGAACGAAATTCTGCAGAAATGAAATATTATTTATATTATATATTATATATTATATATTATTATTATTTTATATATATTTCTTTGCTACTGTATCATGGTCGATATAAAAACAACGTGATACTTAATTTTTAAACTTAGAAACATCGAGAAGTATTTAGACCAACGATGGTGCTTATTTTTATTGTAATGTATTTATTATAAAATAAGTTCGGGCACACCTTGACATTTTACAAGATAAAAAGCAAGAGAAAAATTTTTACTGAACAAACATCATCGAATATGGATTTCATAATATACAATTTTTTAATGTAGTTAAACAATAATAATAAATCTTATATAGAAATGTTGTATTTACCTATTCTGGTTATAAAGAGATATAGTTAATTGTAGATATTTTACAAATGTATATAAAAATAAATCTTCATAGGTAACTATAGAATACTTAATGTTACGTATAAATTGAGAAGGAAAAATTTAAACAAAGGATACCTACAGATCATGAGGAAATTGCCGAGTTAAATAAGAGGATTTATTATCTGGAATCTTAAACGAATAAAAAATATTTTAAATGACTAAATGTTGCATATATTTGTAAGATAAGGGCTCTTTAATGTAAATTGTTGATTTTTATAAAATTTAGTGTACGGAAATATATCCTAATTTCAAGGATAATTGTATTTCGCGTATGAGGGCCCCTCCTTCCTGTTTAAATCAGAATGGACGAAGGAACTTAGTTAACAATAAGAAAAGGCAGAGAATTTCCTTTGTAGATTCCATTGGCAGAAATGAGCTACTTTGTTATGTAGGTAATTGCACCCTAAGAGTATATTGAATAAATTGAGTCACAAGAGTACACAAGTACATAAGTATATATAATCCATTCTTTTCTACTTCTTCTAATGACCGAGGAAACTTTTAGATGGTTCTTAAGAAAATATTTTTATATAAAGATAGTCAAAATTGAGATTGGCAAGCTATTTCTCAAATGGCTTAGAAATTATTCAATTTATAAAAATGGATCACATATAGAAATTGTTTATTTTTAATAGAAAAGTTTAGTTATATAATTTAACTTATATTATTTAATTATACAGCGTTTTGTAAAAAAAGCTATATAAAGAACTTTTTTAATAAAGTTAATTAATCTGTTCAAGAGATACATTAAAAGTTGCTGTGTTTTTGTTAAATATGATTACAAAATATGAATCAAATTTTATGATATGTAGATAGAAATATAAAGTATTAATATGTTATAGACGGTTCTATCAAAATATATAATGTATTAATGTATTAACATAACGTATTACAGTATGTGGATTTTATTTTAAGGAAAAAAAATTTTTTTGCAAATGTCAATTGATAAAATAATAATCCATTTATTAGTATGATATTTGTGAGTTGTCATTGTATTTTAATCGTTATATTTTCGTACAATTTAAAATCTTTAATCGGTGTTTCATTTCATATACATAGATACAAGCTAAATAAAGAAAAGAAAGTTATCTCTCTGCAAACGATTTGTTACAAAATTGTAAGCAAATATAGAGTATATTATGAAATAAGTAGCATCATAACATATGAATACTCTATAAATGTGGATAGAAATGGACATGAATATCTTCTACGTTTTTGAACAGTTGACAAATTAATATATTTCGACAATAATATTTAAATATTGACAACAATTCGCAATAAACTATTTTAAACAAAAAGATTGACACTATCTAGAAAATTCTGCTCTCTCTCTCTCTCACACTTTTATTAATCCATGTTTATTTTTTGACGATTCATACGTAACTGTTTTATTCTTCTAAACATTTTTTCAAACATTATTCATACTAGACTGTACTCGCACATATTATATTTATATTACCGCAAATGAGTTTCACGTATTTTACCTCATTTCCATTCACACATATAAAACCAACACTTACAATAAGAAATATAGGAATATTTTCTTATAATACAATAATCGGATAAGTGGAAGCCAATTTCACTTTTAATTAATACTATTATATACAATTTTGTGTTTTAATTGCGCACATTAAAGCTGTCTATAGTCAAATTAATAAGAAGACAAAAGTATTCGAACAAATAAATTTTCAGGTAATAAAATTAAAAATTTCGATATTTGAAAATTCTATATATTTCTGACTAATAAATTACGTAAGTTTTTCATGTTAAATTGCACAAGTAACTCTGTGCAACAATGGTTTTCAACTTTTTTCTTCGTATGGCGCACATAAGCTAATTATATTAAATTTCTGTGGCACATTAAAAAATGTATTATATCTTTTACTGATATAAAAGCTATTTTTCAACGATTTAAAAATAATAATAACAACAATAATAATAATGGTAATAACAATAGGACATTTGAAAATTCTTACAACACATTGTTTGAAAATCGCTATTGTAGAGAATTATTATACTATTTTTGTACCTGAAATCATCAAGATACTTCTTCAAATGCATTAAATTTGGTTCTGTAAAAACTCCTTCGGCATTTTACAAAAACAATGGACGAGCTTATTAATTGATTGAAATTTGCAAGATTATATCCAACCGAATTTTACAGAAACTTTTATTTAGAAATGATTCTATTACTTTTTCAATACATTATACCACCTTCTCTATGTTTTAATTTTACTTCTATTAGTTTATAATTGTTTATTTGAGAGTGACCAGTGTTTACTGATGATGCGTGTACATTACCCGTCAAAAGTTTGTAATCACTGTGTTACATAGAATTAAAAAATTTAAAAGAAAAGTCACCCAAGAATTTTATTACCTCGCAAAGATTTGTGGTTAAAACACACTATCGTAGCGAAGAAAATTAGTAGGAAATTCGATATAAATAGCAACGGGATTGAGATTCCTTTTATTTGATCTCTGTGCTATTACGTCTCTAGTCACCAATTCTTCTATTTCTGACGTCATCAAACTATTCTTCTGCTATGTGTCATATAAATACTAAGATGAAATAATATAACCGACCAATAAATAAAAGAACCGGACTACATATTGGTAAACAATCAGACTCGACAAACGTATAAATTATTTTCTTTCAATTTCTTATATTACGTGATTTTAATTGTTCCATTACATTTTTTCTTTTTTTTTTTATTGTCAAAGAAATTAAAGAAATTGTAGTAAATTCGATACTGTTATCGTCAATCAGTGTTCCTTAATTATTTCTTATATTGATACACAACCAGCTTGCTAGCAGATTCCCCCATAAACCATTGTTCAGGTAAATCATATTATCAGTATCAAGTATATCGTATAATGTATAACCTATAATCCATCGATAAATACAACTTACAATTTTTTTCAACCATGGTCAAAGCATCCTATCATTAGTTTGTTTTGCAAAACTAACATGAAAATACACGAAGAGATTTCAATAGAATTCGCGACGCGTGTCATTGAGTATCAAGTGATTGAAATTCAGCTTTCAGTTCCTCGTTAGCGAGTCTAATGGCTAATGGAATGAGTATCTCATTGTCAGACGATTTGATGACACATGCCTACTTATTTATCTTAAAATAATTTTCACTGAAGAAAAAGAAAATTGCAATTTTTTTTTTCGTTGAAAAAAGAAAACAGTTTCATTATTTCTCGGATGAGATGACAAATTATTCCTCGACTTTAAGCATCGAACAGTTTATTCTTTCGTTCTGGCTCATTTGTTACATTCATTTTACTGTTCTAACTCGAGTCGTGGGAATTGTACAAATTACTTCTTATGTATTCCTGAATATCGACTTTGCGAGTCTGAATGTTAATTAGATGTTAATTAGAGATTGTGTACTTCGTTGAAAATTTATTTAGAACAATTCAAAACATTTTGTCCATTATTTATTGTTAAAATTTCAATAAGTAGCTTATCCATTAGGCACTGAGAGTATTTTTCTAATAAGTCTAAATTTGACAATATGTATTATTTCTTTCAAGCTTCATACTTTGTTCATTGGGTTGTTACAGTTAATTTTTTGATACAGTATCGAATAACTGTATTCGAACAAATGATTTGTCTTAGTTTTTATGAATTAATCACGATATTAATATAAAATGAATTGAGTAGTTTATGAAAGTCAGGGTGGTAAATAATATCCATAAACCAATTTAGCAAATTGTAATGTAAAATATATATTTTGGAAAATAAACAAAGACTTGATTGACAAAAGTATTTATTTTTACAATCTTACCTTTACGACACATGAAATTGCTATTAAGAACAAGAGAGATGAATTATAAGATAATATATTAGGTTAGCCAAATAATAACAATGGCATTTTTAGTATAAAATAGTCGCTATTTTCTTTAAGACAAAATACACGTTTTATTGAATTTTTATACAATATTTTTACATCGTAAGAGTAACTTTATAATTCTGATTAACGTGTTATTATATTTAACAGGACACCGTTTTCTTCTAAAAAGCTGCAAAAATGTGGTATTATTTACTTGCCAACGTAATAATGTGTCTCGTTAGCGCATATCACTAACACTAAAAGTGGATAAAATATCGTAAGATCATCGATGATTTCAATCGTCACAAAATTTTGTTGTAGTATTATGGTAATTTGTAGCCACTATTCTTTTTAAGTTTTTATTTTATATCCTTATTTAAGACCCACACTCTAATAATTAGCGTACAATGAATTACTTGTTTCCGTACGTTCTTATATAATTTTATGTTCTAAATATTATTAACAAAAAAAAAAATAAATAAAAAAGAAAGAGAAACAAAGCGTTATTAAATACAATTTCTTTATTCTTAATTTTTAAATTATACGCGTTTATCTTTTAAAATTTCTTCTGAAAATTATTAAGCATTCTAAACGAAACATTCTAGTGATAATACTAAAAATGTTTCAGATTACATCAATTTTTTCGGGAAATATATAATCTCATGTAAGTTCTTTCTAAGTAGATATGTAAAAGATATAAAAGTAACCTTAAACTTTTTAAATCGAATTATATAATTTTTAATATATTAAGTGGTGCAATTTATTATTCCTTACACAAAAATACTGTGTTACTGAAAATTTGTTAATTTCGAAAATATTATGATTTTAATATTGGTTAATAGCATCAATAGTAGATATACTTATCTTTCTGAAATTGGTATTCAAAACTGCATCCTTCATTCTATGAATTTTATTTAATATAATATTAGTATTTAATTTAATATTAGGCATAATATATATGTATAATATTCTTAATTTAATGTTTAAGTCTAATTTAGTATTTAATTGAGTATAATTAAGTTTTATTTAATATTACATAATCTTAATATTAAATTAATATAAAACAAAGTAAGTCAATTTAACTTAATATTACTGTTTAATGTTAATCTTTTATGTTAAAGATTATATTACGAAATATCTGCTATAATCTTTCTGAATAATTAAAGAAAATTATAATTCTAACAAAAGTTAAAATAATTTCCTTAATAGTTATTAGACGTGTATTGGCTCTGTATTAGTATCGGTTAATCCTTTTAAGCAAATGCCGTATTTCGGAGAAAAGGAGATAGAAATTTACCAAGGATCGGTAAGTAATAATGAATAAACGTTTATTATTTAAATTACGAATGTTATATTTTTATTTTTTGATATGTGTGAAATGTTTTTATTTGCATTTAAATCAAATTTTCAACGATGTTTTAGGTACCATATGAAAATCCTCCGCATGTGTTTGGATTGGCAGACAATATGTACAGAAATATGTTAATTGATAAGGAAAGCCAGTGCGTTATTATTAGGTAAAATATACGACTTTAATACTATACATTATTTATGTTCTTTAAGAAAATATGCTTCACTAATTTTAACCCTTTGCACTCGACGACTTTTTCGTTACAGAAAAATAATAATTCGAAAACTTTCTGTCATAGAGTCGACGATATTTTTAAAATGGTAAATGAGAAATCATATCAAATTAAGACATAGAATTATTTTTCCTCCACATTCCACACGCACGTCCGCAATTGGCGACGGTTAATGACGAACCAAATTTCTTGAGAAACGTTGTGTTTATAGTGGACTGTATATTTTGTAATAGTTCCGGATAACTCTTCTGAACTCTTCGAATGTTATTTGCTGACTGACTGGTACTGACCTAACTAACTTGTGCGATGGACGATCTTTCGGAGCCTGTGGTTTCCAAAGGGAAATCGGTTTTCCCATTGGTGGTTGACAGGACCGAGGGTGGGCCCTCGGTCCGCGAATCACATGCCCCCAAAGAAGGGAGGACCGTCTTCCGCGACCAAGTCTGCCGGTGGAGGAAGCCTCTCCCTCAAAGGGGGTTGCTGGTGGACCACCCGCACATTCGTGATCCTTCCTGAAGGACCCGTTACTTTATGGCTCCGAAAGGCGCGACATCGCACATGGCCTGGTCCCTTTCTTTGCAGGCCTATT